CTGTTGAAACACGCTACAATTTTAATTCAACAACAACTCCCATATTTTTTAAATCAGACCATATTTATACACCAACCAAATATTTTTGGATTATAACTAAAGTTTTGGAGGCAACCACCATTTTAAATGTATTAACATGGTGCCAAGTTCCTTCTTAGTGCATTGTGCGAATGTGAAATAGACAACCATGCATGCTCTTGTGTTACATTCGGATATCTATTCATGTGTATCTGATAATTTATGACTATCCAGTTTTCTATCCATATTTCGAACACGACTCGTACATGCGTATCTGCCAAAATCCCCCTAAAGAGTCAAATTTTAATTTGGTTATTTGTGTCCTTTTAAACATAAAAATTACAACAATACATGGACAAACATAAACCACTTGCAAGGAACATTGATTTAGACCATTAGACATGCAAAGATATCATTTTCTTCATTGTTCATTGAAGTGTTCTAGTCAGTGTTATCAAGGTGCAAGGCACAAAGTCTCCTTATGTGCACCATGTGCAAGGCGCACTGTGATGCGCACGCCTCACTGGAGTTAGGCGCACACCTAAAACAAATCTTTTTCAACATATGATATATAAGTATGAAAGAAATATATTTATAAATTTTCACATAAAAGGACTAAGAAATAGCAAGAATCAATCAAATATCTCAATTCTCAAACTTTGTAGAAATAAATAAAACATCAAAAAGCGTAAGTTAGATGCGTAAACCATCAAAAGAGTCTACTAGATGTATTAAACATGTGTAAAGAGTCAAAAAACAGTAGATTATCACTAAAGAAACCAAAGATTACAAAAGAAACCAGTAAAACAGTATAATTTCACAAAAAGATAAAAGGAAAGAAAGCATACCTTTAGTGCTGCCAGGAGATGTGGTCGTTGGTGGATTCTCTGAACATTGCTTGTGGCTTCATTGTTGGTCACCGGAGATGGGAGAGAGGTAGTAGCGAGTAAGGTTTTAAATATCGGATATCGGGAAAATATCGCATTGCCAAAATTCATATCGGATTGCGGATATCGGTGATATATCAGGGATATGTGGTAAATATCAGAATGCTATAACAGATGTTTTCATATATAGTATAATGCACTAAAATGTAATCTCTACATACTTACGAAAATCTAAGCATACAAAATATAAATAATATATGTTTAGAATCACTAATCAGCATTGTAAAACAAATAAAAGCACAAATCAGTGCTGCAACATTTGGATTGATTTTTTATGGCCAAAATGTCATTTGATATAATAGGAAAATTATAATAAGTCGCCCAAAAATTGCCAAATGCTATATATTGTTTTGTGACAAGTCATATAAAAGCATATATCGGCCAACATATTGACTAATATATCGGTCATATCAGGGATATATCGCACAAAATACTCAAAAAGCGGTAAAAGATATTTGGTGACTATATCGGTCGCGGTAAGCCCTGTAAAAGGATATGTCGGGGGATATATCGGGCCATGTCGGGGATATTTAAAACAATGGTAGCGAGTGGTCGAGATAAGAGAGAGGAGGCCAGTGATTGAGATGGGAGAGAGGGAACGACGGAAAAAACAAAAGTAAAATCCTAAAAAATCAATCCGGTTTAAGAAAATATCGGGTTTCATACTCGAAACCTAATTCAAAAAAAACTGTATCATTTTTGGGGCGCATGCTTTGGTGCTCCCCACCTCAGCACAACACGCTCAAGAGGGGCACGGAAGGCGCACACCTTTTGAACGTGCAGAGCCCTGCATTTAGTGCGGGGCACAATTGCACCAACCCACATCGCCCCGCCCCTTGGGCGTGCTCGGGATGATCGCCTGAATACCATAGGTTCCAGTTTCTTATTTAACTGCCTTATTGAATGAGAGATAGTTATTGAGCAATCTTCTATAGTTGATCAATACCTTGGAGTTGAAACCCCAATGTCCTAGTCAAAAGGTCAAGAAAGCCTCCATGTGGACCGGGGCCATCAACTCCCTACTGTCTTGGGCCTTTACCAACTACAAATTGTAGTTGTAATATTGGAAGTGTTGATCATCCAATTTCTTTGTATAATCGTTCACAAATTGTTGTCGTTGACGAGGATATATTGATGATTATCAATTGTTCAGTGGCTCTTCCACCATCATATGCTCCCATACCTTAGCTTTTCAATTTTAAACCATGTGACTACACTCCATTTTCAATAGGACTTCTTCCTGACAGCCTAACCAATTTTCTTAAGACTGAACTAGGACATAATTTTAGGTAAAGAACATTTGAATGAAATATTCTACAAATGTATTTTTGTTTTCCTCTGCTAATTATTTATTATCCTGCACACGAACAAGAACATTTGACCTGTCTTGTGTCATGTTGTCCTTCAATTTGATTAAACGTGCTCTATTCAGTCATGGGTAGAAGCTGAAGTTGTTTGATTGAAAATCTAATGAGTAATTTTGTAGGGATGGGTTATGTTCCAAGTTTTTCCACCATCTTGTTGCAAATTTTAAACAAAGATCAAGTAATACGTTTTAGAAGCAAAATGTCTACCTAACAATTGTTCAAAATTAAACTTACGCTTCGTTTGGTACGCGGGAGTGGAGTTAAGTGAGAATATTACGAAGGTAGGAATGGAATGGAATGGAATTGATGTAGGAATAGAATGTATACTCTCATTCTCATGTTTGGGTGCGATTAGAGAATTAAGTGGCAATATATTTAAGAAGAGTAATTCTAGAGTTTATTTTATTATTTTCATTCTCATTTAAGGGGGAGTGTTAATCTCTTGATAACTGATTGGGAATAGCAATTCTCACATTAAGTGGGAATTGATGTGAAGTAGGAATGACATTTCTAGCATCCAAAAACACATTATGTTTGGTAAGCATGAATGAGAAGTTGGAATTGCACTCCATTCTCACTCATTCTCGCGTACTAAATGAGGTGTTAGAGAATTTGTTCTATATATGTTTAGCTAACTCGTGCAAAGAATGATTGTTATTTGTTAAATTTCTTAGGTAATGAGCTTAATCAGAAAAGATACCAAAGTTGATGGAATTTTGAAGTCATCAGTCTAGTAAATTTTAGCCAGCATTTTATCTATCTAATTGCAAGACCAGGTACTGATTAAGTTTTCTTTTCAGAAACATAGAATCAAATCCAATATTGTTGATTTCATTTGAGAGGTTACATTAAGAAGATTTGAATTTTGCACTTTCATCCCAAATATAGTATGTATTGAACTTAATCGCTAGGATTATGTGCACATTGCTTGTGATTGTACGCTCCACCTCTCGTTAGTAATATCAAATACTTTCAATACTTGATCCATATTCGAAATTTCTACAAATAAAAAGAATGAAACTTAGATGTAAGTTTGGAATTTGTAAAGCAATCACAAATAAAATGTTACTGCTATATGAAGTTCATTTTGACATATGCTTCATATAAAGAGCCAACAGCTGGAACATTATTGTCCACTAGCCGGAGCACCATTTAGGAGGATGTTCGTTGACCTGCCAGAATCCCCAAGGACAATTTCTTTACAACTTTGGTCTCTCATCCTGAAGTCATTCTTACAAATTCTGATGATATTTTTTTCCAATCGATTAAAGTACAAGCATATCAATGATGCTCTCTGATCTTTGTAACATTCTGCAATATAATTAAAGTAGCAAGGCTAGTTTCTGCAGATCTTAATAACTCCCTCCTTTATGAACACTTCTGGACATTCAACGGTATCTTAATAAACTCTGTGATGCACTATCTTTGCATTAGTAATCCATCCACTCATTCTTTTGCAAGTTCCAACAAACAGGCGATTATTGGGTCAATTATTCTATTTTGGTTCTTTCTAAAGCTTACTCACTACGTAGAAAGTAATAGTTCAGATAACTAGGCAGAATCTAGGTTGTGTTAACAGCTTAGCTTATTCGCAGGGGGGAAAAATCCAAGTCTAATTTAAAGAAACCTGGAGGTTTGGAATGAGGGGATCATTAATTTATTATTTATCATTTTGGTAATCAGGGATCACCAAAAGTGACTGCAAATTCCTCAATGGATAAATTGGTCATATGAAGCCATATAGTTGGCATTGGGCATAAAATGCAAAGGTTCTAGCTTCATTACTGCTGCATTTCCTGTAATATGCTGACATTTCCCTTCTTATTATATGCACAAGATTATCACAGTACAATAAATTCCTTTCGTATCCATTGCTCGTGATCTTCTTGTTTACTTTTTATGGCCTTATACTGTTTGTTGTTTGCTTGGTTTAGTGGGGTACCCCATGAAGGCAACCACAGATTCCTTTGTTGGAACTAGTTCTCGGTTATTGGAGGAAGAAGTCTTGAAGAAAATTGATATGTACGAAAGCATGCTTGTAGAAATAGCTAGAAGCTGCAGAGAGGAAAGGGTAACTTGCAGATATTCCTTGGCTACTTATATCACCGTACAATTTAGCGAGGCACCTGTCTTGGCAAGCATTAGTGGTCTAATAGAAGTTAATGGGGGATCTGGCTTGTCCTTCCACTAATTTTATGAAAATCATGAATGGTCTTTTCTTGTTTATCTCACCAAAAGATAGATATATCATGCGTCTTGTACTCTTATGTAAGCTTGATGTCGATCATCATCTTTTAGGACTTGTTTAACTCAACAAGAAGATAGATATTACTGTTAGATGTCTAATTAACAATTAAGTCTCTTAACATTCTGTTATTGACCCCAACCCCTCATCTCCCCTTATTCTGTTTGCATCTACATGCCTGCATTACACACCCATTATTACACTTTGCATTATAAATTTACGAATTATGTCCTTGAGATAACCTTATGTTATTTTACTTCTTTTTAGTATTACTTCATAGTTGCGAGATTTTCATCTTATTTGAGGTCTTGCCTATTACTATGAATACTGTCAAAACGTACTTTGACATGCATAATGCCCGTTTGCACGAGGATAGAGAAAAACTTAATCTATTCTGAGCCATATAATTTCAGCTGGCAAATTTTGTTTCTGTTTAAACTAAAGTTTTTGATCTGTTACAACAATGTTTACCTTGTCCTCCAATGAGAAAGGTCAAACATGCCATTTATATTGAAGGTCTTGGCCCGAAACTTATCACATTCTTTATATTAGAAGCCAGCCTGAAAATCAGTTGACTAATTAATTGCAAAGGTCAACTTGATATCTACCGCATATGGCAGTTTGAAACATTTTGTTTTGATATGGGAATTGAATCCAAGACCTTGGAGGCAATATTAGAACCTCCTAACCATCTGGGTCACCGCGGTTTCCAGTTTGAAACATTTTGTTGTCACTGTTGTTCATGGTTCTTGCGTCTGATATGCATTTATTGGTTTGAACCAACTACCATATGGTCCATATGGGTGTATCAATAGACAACAGCTAGGGTATGCCATGCAAGTCCAAAGACATGGTCTCATTCTATTTACTTTATGCTATTTAACTTTTATTTCTACATGATTTTGTCTCGTTTCGCAGGTGAGCATGAATGTCAAAATTACTGCCGGCACACCAACCAAACAAGTCATTCTGCAAGAGGTTATGTCTAGTAAAGCTGCTTGGCTTATACTTGATAGGTATACCTGTTTGAAGCACTGCCAGATTTTTCTTTTTCATTGGACAAAAGTCCATAGCAAGCAAAATTTGCTAGAGCAAATTGTTTACTTATGCTATTCTCATATCTGCACATAAGTTGCTTTTTCGCTTAAAAGCTTGTGGTTCACATTCTAAGTGAGTATTTAGTTAATATTTATTTTCTTTTGCGCCTAGTAATAAACCAAGATAAATGAGGTTTATGACAGGACATACCTTAGTCCAATCTCTATGAAGTGAATCCTAGAGAAAAAGAACTGATGCATCCTCACTGCAGCGCGTGTCAGGTGGCATCAAATGCTATGTTAAGTGAACAAGGTTAGTTCATTAAAGAGGGAGCACTGTCGCACATAGTACAACTATATGTGTGTGATGGTACACTGGATTAGGACACCAATGTAATCTTTCGTATCAAATAGGCGTAAATAAGTGTAGTTTATGAAGGGCATGGTACAAATGATCTGTACATGAAAATATCATTGAATTGCATTTCATGTATGAGAATATGGTTGTAGAAGGTATATGTTTGTTTGATAGTCGGATCTGGGGACACTTATTTGGGAGTGTTGAAGTTAAAAGAGAAAATATAAAAGGAGGGATTACGAACTATTTCTTTGATATTAATTTGTTTGCATATGATGGGTTTACATACACGAAAGCAGTAGCGGAGCTTGTGTATTTCATAAAAAAAGTTTTTTTATATTAGTTCCTCTAATTTTAAAATAGCTTCAAATGGGTCCTAAAATCTCAAAATTGCTATTAGGCTTTCCAATTCTTAAAGGTATTTGAAAATTAGTCCCTCGAATCATTGACATTGCCATTGAATCCCTAGCTCTCGTGATCAACTTGAAACAATTCATAAGAATTGGAGGACTTTTTTTTAGAGAAAGACTTAATGGAGGACTTAATAGCAATTTTAATAATTAATGGAGGATTTATTAGCAATTTTAATGATTTGATGAACTAACTTTAAAATAACATAAAGAATTTGGAGGGAGCTAAGAGCAATATCGATGACTAAAGGACTAGTTTCAATACAGTAAAGATTTAAGGCTTTGAGTGACTAATATGAACAAGGACC